TCAATTATTCAGCACAAAAGGAAGTGAATATTCAAAAAGCCATGGGTTTGCTCTCCATGTGCAGAGGAACAGTGATCAGCCAGTCTGACTGATGAGCTGTTTTTTATGAGTAAAGGCTCAGTTTCTCTCCAGTGTCACAATGGGAACATCTGCTGGCACGTGGATGAGTCTCACATTAGAAGTCCCATGTGAGCTCAGTAACCGACTGTCTTTCTTGTGGTGCTTCAATATGTTCTGACAATTTGTTGTTTTCTACAGAAACTAATATAAATGTCTACTGAAGCTTGCATTCAAGGGTTCAGCATCAACTAAATGTTTACATATGAGCCATTACTGTGGATCTCTTTAATGCCTCACACAGAGCATCAAAAGCTGAAACAAAAAAGGAGAATTTACAGCAGCAGGTATTCACAAACAGTCCAGGCTGTAAAGGCCTGCACCAGTGGTTTGCATCGAGCATTTAATACAAAACACTTTTCTTCACATCACAGCTCGCAAATGAAAACCGAACGCATCTTTGCTACAGTACTTTTACTGTTCTCATTTAACCTCATGCAACCTGGCAATTAAAAAAAAGAAATTCACTTTGCCTACTTATGAAACTTGCTCAAGTTGTGTAACATCAGGTGTGTAGGGACGTTTCAGCCCAACCCCAGCAGCCTGGTTCCAGACTTCTGACTCACTGGCCACATCTCTGATTTGTTCAGTGAGTCCAAAAGGCCTGATGCTGTGTTCCCTGAGAGCTGGCTCCTCGGTTAGAATCACAACGTGTAGGCGGTGTGAAGAAGCAGGATGGTGTCTTCCTGTCCCAAAATGACAGTGATAAATGTGAAACAAAAATGGCAACAAGAGTGCACGGATATACAGACTGCTGTCAGTTAGATTACAGAAACAGCGATTCTTTAAGTGGCAGTAGGTAACAATTAGAAACTAATTTTTCCTTTTACAAATGACAAGTTCAATTGAGAGCAAATGAAATGCACCGTTGCCAGGTTCAGTATAATCAGTCACACCTGGTCTGTATGGCCATGAGCTTATAATGCCAAGTCTGCCTCTCTACTGTTGCACTATATGTTTAGCTTTTATTATTAAGTGTGTGACCACACAGACATTTGCTGGGACATAGATGAACTTACACTAACTTTAATTCTGCATTTTATAGCTAAAGCCAGGCAGCCCTTTCTTGCTTTATTGTCCCGCCACCATGTTTCTCTGCACCCCTAGCATCTCACCGCAGGCTACAACTGAAAATGCCATCCTTTTATTCTATGGCACCACAAGGTCATGGAGCTGTTCAGCAGATTCATCAGGAAGGCCTTAAATACTACACGCAGGTTTAATAAACATGTTACCTACCCAGACCCTGACACAAGGCATGAATATAGATAAACCACAATGGAAAATCAACCAAATGAAAGTATTTTGAAAGCTCAACTGTGAGGTGGAAATCACTAATCACTTGATTCAAATCATGACTGACTGTGTAGCTCACTCACCTTTAGTTTCTAAACTTAGCAGTCACAACACAGTTCAAATGCACTTAAATCTGTACCAGAGTAGGTGAAGGCATCAGCATTCAGACAGCCTGGTGTGCAGCTCTGACTGAGGCTGACTTCAGGAAGGAATGAGTGTGTGATTGCAAATCAACCTTTTAACTGAATTAAAGTGAAGAATACTGAAAATAAAAATAAACAGTGGCGTCCTTTAGAAACAGGACCAGATCATTAATATTGTAACAGTAAACATAAACAGCCTGGTGGTTAGTGCTGTTGCCCCACAGCAAGAAGGTTCGGTGTTTGAGCCCCGGCCGACCCAGTGCCTTTCTGTGTGGAGTCTGCATGTTCTCCCTGTGCCTGCGTGGGTACTGCAACTTCCTCCCACAGTCCAGACATGCAGCTTAGGTTGACTGGTGACTCAACAAAATTGGCCATTATTCAGAAGGGCGTCCAACATAAAACATGTCAAGTTTAACGTGCGCATTGTCAGTTCGGTGGGAACTGATGATTTACTGTGGTTACCCCTAATGGGAACAGCCAGAAGAAGAAGAAACATAAACAACCCTTTAAATGCACTGTGCCATCACCTGTTCCTTGAGTGACACCCTCAGGTAGAATAGGTCACAGACACTCTTTACCAGAAACTGTTTAACATGAACATGATGACAGACTGAAGAAATGGCATTAATGGTCACTGGGAATGGAAGCAGGAGTCTGTCTGAGACTGCCAGAAAATATGCCCAGACATCTACAACTGCACAGTCTGAAAATGGTCTGCAACAAAGCATACAGCGCTGAAACATAACTAAGGTTACTTGACTTCACTATAAATACCTGTGTGCAGGAAAGAGCTCACTGGCTGTTTTGTTTCAGTATGGAAACTAATAAACACACCAGCATAACAAATATTACTCCCAGCATTAGCAGAGTGAAGGGAACAATAAGAGGAGGAAAGTGAAGATGTTTCACTGGGCTGCAGACTGAGAGGGAGAGACATCAAAGAGTTGTAATCACGCAGAGGAGACTCGCACTGCTGACTTCATTAACACCCAGAAGTCATTAACAGGAACCACACGGGACTCCAGCAAACACATAAAGACAACACAGACAAACGGACGTCAGCTCCTAAATGTCACTTCATCAGAGCAAGCTGCAGTCAGCCTGTGGGCTGATGAGAGAGAGGCGTGTGCATGAAGCCTCCTGCTCCCACCCAGAGAGCACACACAGAGAATAGTGATCTGGTCCATCATCATAGAGGAGCTTCGTGTGGTGAGAGCAAACACAAGATTATGAAGACAAACCATTCCTATAACTCAGGAAAAGCTTCATTGTGGCTCCTACTTTTAACACGGTATTTCCTACAGTCATTTGGGGTGTGTGGCGACTTAATTAGCTGTCTAACGCTTCATCCACAGAAGCTGCTGCTGTGCCTCATGGGAGCTGTAGTTGTTGAAATCAAAGTAATCCTTGTGCTGTCTTTGTTTAAACAAAGTCATTAAAGTGTGAATCAGAAACCAGAGGAACAGCAGCACTAACGAACGGGCACATCTCAGTGAGTCTGAGAGAAGAAACAGCTGCGTTGTGTGTGTGTTGGCTGCTGCCGACTGACTTTTATTGTGCTGGTCCATACTGAAATATTTGAACACTTGATGTTTAATTGTTCTGCACAAATTGTGTCGTAAACATTAACAGCTACTGGAGCCTTTTACTGGAAGGACAAATCAGTAAAGACAAATTCAGTTTTTTTGTTTTGTGTTGGTTTGGTTTTTTGTTGTTTGTTTGTTTGTTTTTGGTTAGTCCAACCAAATACCAAACATATTTTCTCAGTGAAAAAATCTAAAATTATGAGATGCAGATCAATGAAGCCTTTCTATGTTACAGTTATACTCTGATATGACATTCACCTGTGTGTGTGTATATATATTCTTTTTTCATTTGTCTTCTATACACACTGAGTTTGTCCATGCAGGTAGGTTACGCACACGCTGAAGTGTAATTTTTAAACCCAACTCTATGTCTGTTTTGGGACTATTACGTTCCCTGAGGGTCTACAGGATGGAAGGTTGAAATGACCGGCTGCAAGAAGAAAGCAGAAGGGGAAGCAGGGTCAAGGTTGCAATTAAAAGGATGGATTTATTAACCAACGACCAAACAGAACACAAAACACTACTCCTGGAGAGCTAAGCAAAGCTCCCTCCTTCCAGCCGGAGGAGTAAGCGACCTGCACACAACCTGGATGCTGCCAATAACAACAATCTCCCAGGACTACATGAGTCATAAGCAGGAACCACTAAACAGATCTAAAAGCCTTAATGTCATCAGTGTAAATGGGGAGTTTGAGGACAAAGATCACGCCGCTTCAGTCTGCGCTTCGCTTTTCACCTCGACGCCACAACAGATGATCTGACTCATCTCTCACACATTATGTGGGAAACTGATCAGTCCCACTGCTTCTGAGTGGAGTCACAGCACGAAACCCTCAGTAGTAACACCTGCCACATGAGAGCGGCAAAGCTGAGCAGCTCTTAAAACGTCTGCCTCTCTGAATATTACACATTTGCTTCCTCAAAACAAATTCAGAGAAAAAGGGTGAAACAGAAAAAACACATGTTGCACGTGTTGCTCGTTTTGTTGAATATTATTTTCCACAACTATTTCACAGTGAAGTTGTGTACACTTGCAAGAAGGTCCACAAGGAGACACTAAATCACTAAATATAAAGTGACATGATAAAAGGCAAGAAGACAGAAAAACAAGTGGGAATTGACTGATATGATATTTGAATGATGAGTAAAATGAAACAGGCAAAACAACCAGCTTAGGGGATAATTTTACTGAATATTAAAAATCATACAAACAGGATTCCCAGTCATGTCATTCAATCATTTTACTTTCTGTAGCTGAGACCAAAGTAAAAAATCTGCTAACTACCAAGTGGATAAAATCAGCAAAATGCATATAAAAGGATAAAATGAAAAGGGATAAGAAAAATAAATGGACAGTAGTGAAATATAATAAAACGCCCAGAGGAAAGCATGAAACTGAAATAGTGAAAATATGAAATGTTAACTGTGCACCAACTTTTCCTCCTCTTACTGAAATTCATGTGTGTCAGGAAAGCGTCAAACAAGTTAAATCAGCAACGACTGACAGAAACCGCCACCAAGCAAATAATAAGTCAAACCATGGAATCAAGCAGATAAGAGGCCGTGATCAAACAACGCTCGCCTCCATCTACAGATAGGAAATGGGTAAGTCAGGCATTAAGACAGAAACAGGGTGACCTCAGAACGATAACTTTACAATGTTTTTTACTCTTTTGAGAACCCCTGTATCTGCCCCACCCCCCGTCCTGACAGTTGAACCAACTTATCTGCACCCAACCACCATATCTTTGCCTTGCACCTCAGCTTTGGCCCCTGCACCCCTCTGAAATGTGTATCTCTGTTCTAAAGTTTGTATTCTGAGAAAACATGTCTTGACCTACGGTAGATGTGCAGGGTCCCCGAAGTCGCCGAAATCACCAAGCCACGTGCACAGGTTGCTCCTTATCACTGATCCACAGTCCCCCTCCACCGCAACCCAGTCTCTGCCCTGCCTCCTCCCCTGCCTGCTTCTTGGGGGTCACTACCCAACAGTACTACTTTACTTACATCATGTTTCCCCCTCCCCAGGTTTGGGTCCTGGTAACAGAGATCACTGTGAATGAGGACTGTCATAAGTAGGAAGATTTAATTAAATGAATGTTACTGTTCCAACTACTGGAATCTCTGCTGAGAAGTACATTCAAAACTGTTCCTCCCTCTCTGCTCTATGTCTCGGGCTGTTTAAATGAGGACAAGGCCTCCACACACAAAGACAAACAGGTCAGAGGACGCCATCGAGCTGATTGCAACAGACATTGGTTTTTATAACCAGCCCTGAAATTCTATATTGACGCATGTGGTCTTTGGTTAGTAGCTAATGATGATGTCGAAAGTCTCCTCATTTTGTGGTTTTCACCCAAACTGTGTGTTTGCGTCATTTATAAAAACACCACCTAAAAACATTGAAACCACATCTGGCAAACAGGAAATTGTAAATCACAAAGTTTGATTCTTGCCCAATACGACTTCCTGTTCCTGTCTGCAGCTGTGTCGGTGCTGACATTGCAAACACAATGACATCACGGATGTGCTGTAATAATAATGCTGTACTTCCTGACTTTGATTGAAGCTTCCTGGCATTTTCAAAGAGCAGTAGCTGAGGAAAAGTCAACAACGTGTGGCAGCATTTTTCTTTTCACCATAACAGACTACAACATGAATGTGCTGTGAGATAACTAGAACTTAACTGTTACCTTTACATCAAAACATATTTATTGTAAAATACAAGTGCCCTGATTAGCATCTTACTGTAAAGTAATGCATTACACTTACAGTACATTATACTTCTGTCTTACTTTTAACCCACACACAAAGCACATACACAACCAGTTTTGAGAAGTAACTCACATTCCAATTTACCAGTGAAAAATAAAATCCTTTGAAATCTTTGTTATTGACAAAATAAACCTCTGAAATAATGCAACAGACATCACCATAGCTTGATATTTATAACCTTACATGTAATTCATCCTGACTGTATCTAGAATCCTTCACGTCTGGCTGCAGTGTTTAAACAGACAGAGCCTTCTTTTTGCAGATCCATCGGTTCCTGTCGTCACAGCTCGCTGACCTCCACCCGGTCCTGTCGTCAGAGATCACACAGTGGCCGGTGACTGGAGCTTCTGCCCACAAGCTGAGGAGGAAACATGGTGGTTAGATCAAGGCTGGTGGATTTTATAAATCAGGGCTTGTGTCTCTCACCTTTCAATCAGATCACTTCCATCGACCCACTTCCATCTCCCATCTACAGCTCTCAGGCCGATCCAGTATCCATCAATGTCGTGATGGAACCAACTATTCTCTGTGACAAAATCCTGAGCACAACACGGAGACATGTGTCACATCCACACACTCAGTGTTTCATTTCATATATGGTGTCATACAAAGTCGCTCTTTCCTCTTTACCTTCTCCTCTTCATTAACTATAACAGGCAAATCTGAGTTGGTTCCACTGCAGTTTTCTCGGGCTTCATCCCAGGTTTTCAGATCAGGAGCCAAAGCATTATTAATATCATAGCAGTCAGACTGGAAGTCCAACCAGCCGTCTCCACAGAGTTGATTCTCCTTCCCTGAAACCATAAAGACCAAATGATAAATAAGACTGCTGCAGTGTGATTTTATTATCGGTTATCTGTGGATTGAGTTCATCTGAACGTGCCGTCATTTTCTTTGGGGGAGTGGCCGTCAGTGCTCCGCTGACCCTGAGTGATGCAGAGCTCATTCAGTTTCTTGATCTCTGCTTTCAGCTGCTGGTTTTCTGCAGCCAGGTTGACGTTGTTTGAATACATGACAGAGGTAACTGCAGTGACAGACAGGAAGGTGTGAAGGTCGTGTATATATACAACACATTTTATACATAGTAAAACTTTACCTCAGTCTGCCCCAGATCAAATTTCCTTCAGTGAACAAAGTGGGCTGAGTTTTAGTTGAATCAGGACCTCTGGTATTTGGAGCAAGTGGTTTTTTTTTTACAATGAGGTGTAAATAAATTTAGATGCAAGTAAAATGTATTTTCATTATGTCTACTGAGCATCTGTGGCAGAATAAGTTCCAGCTTTTCTGTTTTCAGCATTAATTAGCTGCCAGTTAAACTTGTTTCTGACTTCTCAACCTAGGTTTTTCTTTCATTTATTTATAATTTGAATACCTTTAAAAAGTTGAACAGTAAACGTGAATACATTTACTTGCAGTTTGAAAGGATTTAATAAGGGAATTCAGTTCTGGAATTAAATTGAATGAAATGCTAAAACCTCAACGCCAGTTTTAAAAGCCAAAAGTTAAGTCAGTTTTCCCTTTGTGCATGTTTAATGTTTCAAAAGAGGTGCATCAAGACTATTTCTTAAAAATGAACTGTGTCCCTTAATCTTCATTTATGCTCCTAAAAAGCTGAAAAGATGACGCCTGCTTATATTAGCTTCAGATCTTTACCAGGGCCGGAGTGAACAGAAGGAGGGACGACAACAAACACCGACTGTCAAAGGGCACATACCAGAAACAGATTGTTGTTCTCAGACACACAACAACAACAACAACAACAAGCTAAGAAAACAGCTCAGGTTTTAACCAACATCCACATAATACCAGAAACAGATTGTTGTTCTCAGACAAACAACAACAACAAGCTAAGCTAAACAGCTCAGGTTTAAACCGACATCCACATAAGAGGAACTCACAGTAGATCCGAAAAGCCATGATCAGTATCAGGCAGCACACTGCTAGTGTTGGAAGAGTTTGAGTGAAGGAGGGAAACTTCTGACCTGGAGGGAAAAGAGCAACTCAGTTACAACAGCTCAGTGATGAGAGGCTGTTTGTATACATGCATGCTACCCTATTTATACCACGACTGATAAATAAACCTCATGCTTAACAATGTCACGTTTGTGCATTGTCCTCAGAATGCACCTGAGGTGGCTTCAGCTTCTTCCACATCAGAAACTGCTGAGTTAACATAGTAAGCTTCTTCTTCGAGTCTTTCTAAAAGAAGTACAGAACAAATGCAAGTTAAATTAATTATTTGCTGATTCACTGCCAATATTTTACAAAATATGGACTTTACAATCAATTTCATTTTTCTGTCAGTCATGTAAACATTTTTAAATATAAACTTAAACAAACCTTATCAGAAAGCATCTCACCTGCAGACAGGGAAACATTTGGATTTTTGAAGGTAACAACCAGCCCCCGAGTTTCTCTCTTCATCCTGAACAAAGCATCAAGTTCACCTGCACTCTTATATGATGGCTGAAAGGGAAATGCCACCGTGTGCAGTGTACCAGTTTTAGACGTCACTGGGGATTGTGGTTTTAGTTCTGTTTTAGATGTGTTTTGAAGTCGTGACAGATTCGTTAGGTCAACAGCTGATGTCAGCTTGTTCTAGTGGAAAACCTTTGACTCTAATGACTTTAATGCACTTTGTGCATCTGACACATCTAATGCTGTTGCACGTCACCTTCCATCCTTCTGAAACCAAAGACCCATCTGACAAACACAAACCCACTTTTTAATGCACATAACATGTCATAACATGCCCCCGCGACCCGGTCCCAGATAAGCGGAAGAAAATGGATGGATGGCTGTGCTTTATAATAACAATGATAATGTTGCTCCTCCTGATTGGTTTAAGTTTAGTGACATTTTCAAGGAGAAATTTGCAAAAGTCAACAACAACAACAACGTGCGGTAGCACTTTTATTAACTGTAACAGACTAAAACATGACTTTGCTTCTAGACAGGTAACACTGAACTGAAATCTTTACAGTAGAACACTTCAGTCAATCAAATGACTGATTGATTAAACAGAATATAACATCCTCAGTAGCATCTCATGTGAAGGGATGCAGCTCCCTCTGTTGGCCAATCAACTACAACTACATAGTACTGCATGTTTCAGAAAGGAAGGAAGAAGCTGAGCAGGCTTGTTGTTCCCTTTCATGAATCTGCTGATACACAAACTGTCAACATTGCATCTCTAACAAAGTAAAAACACATACAAATGATCAAAAAGTACCAGTCTGGTTCCCCTTTAGACCAGCCACTGTATTTTTCTAACTATTGCAGTCAGACTGATAGCACCTCCAGTATATATTTTCTGATATCTAACATATACATTACATTTGTGTTTTGTTCTCAGCTACACACAAAGCACATACACAAACAGCTCTGGAAGATAACTCAGATTATTTTTCCCCCTTTGGTCGTGAAAAAATACCCTTTAATCCTTCAAGTCTGGCTGCAGTGTTTAAACAGACAGAGCCTTCTTTTGGCAGATCCATCGGTTCCTGTGGCCACAGCTCACTGACCTCCATCCAGTCGTCTGGTCAGAAATCACACAGTGACAGGTGGTTGGAGCATCTGTCCAAGAGCTGGGGGGGAAACATCATGGTTAGGTCAAATTTTATAATTTTGTGTTTAAGATCGTATCTCTCACCTTTCATTTAAATTACTTCCATCTACCCACTTCATTCTCCCTTCTTCAGCTCCCAGGCCAGTCCAGTTTCCAATGATTCCACCTGAGGACAGACTCTTTCCAGTGACGAATCCCCGAAGGCAACACAGAGACACTTGTCAGAGATATTTTAACACCATAAACACACTGTGATCTACAGACTCACTGTGTTCAGACCGACAGGAAATGACTTTTCATTTCATACAGTGCCTTGCGAAAGTATTCGGCCCCCTTGAACTTTGCGACCTTTTGCCACATTTCAGGCTTCAAACATAAAGATATAAAACTGTAATTTTTTGTGAAGAATCAACAACAAGTGGGACACAATCATGAAGTGGAACGAAATTTATTGGATATTTCAAACTTTTTTAACAAATAAAAAACTGAAAAATTGGCCGTGCAAAATTATTCAGCCCCCTTAAGTTAATACTTGGTAGCGCCACCTTTTGCTGCGATTACAGCTGTAAGTCACTTGGGGTATTCACAAAAAATTACAGTTTTATATCTTTGTTTGAAGCCTGAAATGTGGCAAAAGGTAGCAAAGTTCAAGGGGGCCGAATACTTTCGCAAGGCACTGTATATGGTATCACATAAATTCACATTACGTTCTCCTATTCATTAGCTATGACAGCCAAGTCTGACCTCTTCCTTCTGCAGTCTTCTTGAGCTGTAGCCAGCCGAACTCCACTGAGCTCGAGTGATGCTGAGCTCAGTCCAGCTTGCCTCATTGTTCTGTATTTGTTCTGTTAAGTTGCTCCTCTGTGTCGCAGCCTGGTATCCTGGAGTGACTAGAGGAGACCTGAAGGCCACTGTGGACAGCTTCTGGTTTTTTGCAGTTGACTTGGCCATTCTAACACCTGGATATGTTTATTTGTGAACCATTCCATTGTAGATTTTGCTTTATGTTTTGGATCATTGTCTTGTTGGAAGACAAATCTCCATCCCAGTCTCAGGTCTTTTGCAGACTCCATCAGGTACGCAGTTGCCTGTTGACATCACCTGTTTCAAGTGGAATCATCATTTCATTGTTTTACCTCATTACTGGCTCTGAAATGTAACTGACACAGCTTGTTTTGGAACATGTTGCAGTATCAGGATTGAAGTGAGTGTTTATTTTGAACCACAAATAAAACTGAGGTCTCATATCAAATAATGTGCTGCTGTATTGTTTTCAGTGTAACACAGGACACAGATGGTCTACACATCACTATTTTTAGTTTTAGTTTTGATTTTACAAACCATCCCAATGTTTGCTAATTTGGGGTTGTATATTCATTGTCTGAGCTGAGCTGGTTGTTGCGGTCTGTCCGGTTGGACCTGGCAGCTTCTGGTTGTCTGGTTGTCTGCAGTCAGCTTGGTGCTGTTTTCAGACATGACAGAGGTAACTACAGAGACAGACACAGGAAGGTGTCGGGGTGTGATAGTTTGTTGAAAGGCAAGTTTGGTTATGTGTAACACATCATACAGATTAAAACAATGGAGCTGACCAATCAGAGCAGACGGGGCTTTTAGGGAGTGGGGGCCAGGAGTTAAAGCACAGTGTGTTCACAATGGGACGCCCTGTGCGCCCTGAGGACACTAATGAACTTTATGAATGTACAAAGGTGTAAACATCTTCTAGCGGAACCTTTAAATAACAATATCAACCTGACAATGAGTATAATTTGTGACCTTTAAGAGTTAACCAGTCCAACATTCCAGGCACTGGTTCTAATAATGAAACCCAAACAATGAACTGCAGTGCTGTGCACGTTGATAGGCAATGATCAATACATCACACAGTCTCTATTGATTGTTCCTTTTTAATAAAGTAAAACTGAAATCAAGCCTGTGAGCAGATGAATAAAGGTCTCATAAACACTACAGAGCTGTTAGATGGGTGTTTTGGTGTGGTCTTTGTGCCTGGGCCCTATAAATGTGAAAGGTGGTTTCTGCAGCACAGGATAACAAAACAGCTGCATTACAAGCTGAAGTCAAGACAAAGCTCCCAGTTTCATTCTATTAACAGAACAGAATAAATAAATCGAATCCACTTAGTAAAGCAGACGATTAACGATCCATTCAGAAGAATTTTTGTTTACAATAAAAAAACTGAGTTCAATTAGATTCACAAATGTTCCCAACAAAGATCATTCAAACTCAAACTACCCAACATTATTTACAAAAAGCCAAAGAGTTTTCTTCCATAACACACACCTCGCAGAGCACGTGGCTGATGAAACGCCCGCCATGATTAAAAAGGAGCCGCAGCTACAGAGCGAGTCCACTGCATACAGTAGGAACGAGGCCACAAAAGCTGAGAAGCAGAAGTCAGATGATGGAAACGTTTCTCCGGAGTGAAATGGCCCTTTAAAACTACAAGGTTATGGAAATAACACCTGCTACCAGCCCAGGTAAATCCAACAAAATCAACTTCCATAGGCAAACATCAGTCTGTTAAAAAAAAATCACTCTCTTTGGCAACTGTAAAAATTAACCAACATGTTGGCAGTGCTGGCAACTAAGGTGCAGCCACCTCAGATCAAACATAGGATATTTTAGATTTACTGCACTGTCAAGAGCTGCCACTAATAATTATTTTCATTATTGACTGTTTCAGCGATTGACAGGCTGTATAAGAGTAATAGTTACTCTCCAGTATAACATTGCTGAACAAATCTTTGTGAATGATGGTTTACTGTATCTGTGATGTTTATGCTCATCTGTGTTGTGTTCGGGTTTAACGTACTCGCCTGACAACTGCCAGAAACACAACAAGAATTTCAGTAAGGACAATAAACTTGAAACCAGAGGTGGGAGTTAAGTCACACATGTGCAAGTCTCAAGCAAGCCCCAAGTTACTGTGGTGAGAATCAAGCAAGTCAAGTCGAGTCCCTACTACATGTCAAGCAAGTCACAAAATTCTGACAATCTGCTAATGTTATGGGAATTTCACGTATTTAAGTGCTAACCAGCACTGAAACATTCACAAACCTCCTCTGATTAACTGTGCATTCATAAGCTAAAACAAACTCTTAGCTATTAAATTAAAAAAAAGGCCTTTGATGGCAGTCAGAAACTCTTCTCAGTAAAATACAAAATCGATCCAAAGTCACATCTAACAGCTTTAGCTCTCTAGTTAATTCAAAAACAAAATGTAACTTCTGAATATCTAGAAAAATGCAAATATTTCATTAAAAAGTGAAGGAATTTCAAGTTGCCTGTCTCAAGTCATGAATGTCAAGTCAAAGATGAGTCCTTTTACCAATGTTGGTCAAGCAAGTCTTAGTTTTGCGTTTTAAGTCCCACTTGAGTCAAGTCATGTAACTTGGGTCCTCCACCTCTGATTGAAGTTGAAATTAGTTGTTGGTGAACTGGAGTCAGTACAGACCAGCTCATTGTGAATAAGAAAGAAATATCAAATTAACTGGATCTATCTCAGGTAAGCTGGGAACTCAACAGGGAGGAGACAGTGGTGCAGTGGGTAGAGCAGTCATCTCCCAACCAGAAAGTTAAAGGTTTGAATCTCGGTGCCTCCAGTCAAAGTGTCCTTGGGCAAGACACTGAACTCTGCCCCCGATGGTTAGAGCCATCAGTTGAATTGGCGCTGCAGATGGCTGCTGTCGGTTCTATACCGGAAACAAATTCCTTGTGTAACATACTTGGCCAATAAAGGTGATTATCCATATCCAGGAGGTTCATGATGACAGACTCATCCAAAGGCTTCTTCACAAACATTTTAACTGGACATAGAAAGCTTTGGGAACCACTGGTCTTGGGAAAGTGCAATTCAGTTTTTTAAGACCAACACTCCAGCTTACACTGTGGATCTACAAAGCTCCAAATAACCCTTAAAGAAGAAGCACTTCGACTGCTTTATGTCCCACTAGGAGAAAAGAGCACAAGCTCACACTACTAGTAATTTGTCATCAAGACAAGTTACTTTAATTCCTTAATATTTAAGTTAATGCAGCATGGCACACCAAAATCTAGTCAGGTCACCTCCATACGGGGAACCTGTGGTGTTCTTCCTCTGTGGTGGTGGGACAGAGACCCTGCTGCTCTGCCTGAGTCCATGTGGAGGCAAACTCAGCTTCATGTGTGATTGTTGGGACATTTTTCTAATATTCCCTGAGCATTTAGCATCATTTTTATATCTTTCATAGTCCGCATGTCCCCTTTTCACATTGTGCATGTGCTGTATGTCTACTGGATCTCAGTGAGGAGTGGAATGGGGGAAAGTTCAACAGAACAGTCCCGCACAGCCTCATGTCTCCCCTTGGGATGAGATGCTGTTTGAATAACGTCTTGTTAGCTGTTAGACAGAAGACGTATAGAATAACAGCGGGTGACAGGCTTAGTCAGACACTGTGTGTAGCATCACCTACATGGTGGGAAGATGTAAACAAGGCTGGTCTCACAGAAACCTAAGAGGAGCTTACATCATGTTACTTAGTGGGGCATTTCAACTTAGGGAGGTGTGCCTGAAACTTGAGATGTTACAGGAGTATTAAAAGCTAACTAGTCTTTGTTCACTCTGTGTTGCCCTCCTCACACAAGGTTCCAACATTTAATCCAGATATTACATTTCTGATGAAAGAAAAAAAGAGAGATGTCTGTACATGTCTTTCTCCCAACAGCGATAAACACAAAATATTCAGGCTCCAGCTCAAAGTTAAAGGCAGAAGTTCTGATTAGCCTGTCATGATGTCATGTTTGTCCCGTTGATATGCAAGCTTTGTTGTACAGATACAAGCTCTGAGATGGTTCAGTTTAGCCCAAAAGTTGCTGCAAAAGTAGGTCCACATGCCTCAGCCACAGCTGCTAACGTCTGCGTTTACCTTCAGTTAGACTCAGAGACAACTCTGCTGTCACTACGCTTCATATTTGCCATACAAACTCTCAGCATTTTTCTGAGATGGCAAACAATTTTTTGAAACAAAACTAAATGTAGTGTAAGGTTAAATAAAGGTTTTATTGTGGTGAAGGGCTGAGTAGGAATGTGGCCTCTCCGTTAGGATCCTCTCATGTGTCTTCATACAGTATCTTTGTGTAAGACACCGAAGCCGAAGTCCAGTTACTGTGGCAGAAAGCATCAGTGAAACCCGCCTGTCTACATCTCATCAGCATGTGCAGATTTGGCCGGCTCATGACTTCCTTTTCCTGCCTTCGACCTTACACCAAGGGCCAGTGGGTCAGTCTGTCCGGCGACAAGAGCTGAGCTGTTCCCTGACTGGGTCCCCCCTTGGGCTATACTGTCAAAGGCTGTATTTTCAGGGTTTTCTATTGGTTCTTGGGGCACAGTGGCGCCCTCTGGAGGTCCTGATTGGCCAAGATCAGAGGACAGCGGCGAGGAGCCAGACTGGACAGCCGGACTCTCGACCTCGTCCGCTGTTGGCTGTGAGGACGAGGGGTCTGTCAGGATGTTTCTGGAAATAACTAGAAACATGAGGAAATACATTATTTCTACAGTGTCTCTACTGCATCAGATGTACCACAACATATCAAATACCTCACTGGGTTATGTGTTGGATCTGGCAAGTGACGAATTCAGATTTGGATCTTTTGTTTGTGTGTGCTGGTACTTGTCTGACCTGATCTACATTGTCCAGACTATCATGTTTACTTAATGATCTCTGGTTGTGAGATGTGCTTTGTAAATGCACTTAGTCATTATTATTATTATTATTACATTATAAAGAAGTGGAACAGTGTTTGCCCGTTTCTGTTATAATGCTCGTCAGTATTGTCAACATAAACAGGCTTCACAAACCTCCCATACACAAGTTAATTAAAATAATTTGGAAAACACTTCATTTGCTTGTTTATTCACTTTCTTAATTTGTTCATGCCGTTTTCCCATAGTCTGGTAAATCTGAAAAAACTTCCAGATCCTCAAATTTCCTGACGTTTCATAAGTTCAGCAACCAGCTGTCACTCTGACTGAGCAGTCTGCTTCAGTGGAGTAAACCTCTTACACAGCAGGAAGTGATGCTGAGGGACTCACCTCCTCTGGGTCTGTAGTCGTCGTCTGTAGACAAGTGGCGGTTGAACGGACTGAAGCTCGGCAAGATGATCAGACCCAGAGAGATCAGAATAATCTGCCAACACACACACAAAATCTGATGTACACTATAGGAACAGGCTCCAAGTTTATAAGAAATAAGAAATCTGTATTTTTCTGTCTGAACCAAAAACAGTCACATAACACCTGGTCATATGTGACATTTATTTTCACTGCTTCAATCAGCTGATTTTTCTTTTTATTTACTAAGAGACAGTATCAGCTGATTTGTGAAGAAACAGAACCACTGAGAAGAATCGGAGCTAGAAGTAAAATATAAACACACACATACACACACTCAAACAGCAGTGAGTGTTTCCTACCAGTAAGCAGGTGCTGGTCTGTGCTCCTTTACTGGCCGTCTGTTTGATCAGGGACTGGAGCTGTCGGAGCTGAGCCAGCAGAGACCTGAGGAGCAGGAACACAGTCCAGTTCACCAACCTCATCATTCCCCAGCTCTATCAGCAATAATCTGAGCTCAGCCATGTCAAAGCCAATGAACCTCTGCACCCTGATTGGGATTAAAGTACTGACTGAAAACAGGTAAGAAAACCTGCTGAATTAAGATGGACTGTTTGATTTGACATGTTTGCTTTTACACCACAACATCTGAACTAAACCATGAGCCTGTTCCTCTGTTCTAATAGCTGAGCTTGTCAGCAGCACAGTGACATGGTGCTGTTTGATGTACTAAAAAATTTTAATCATCATAATTATAGACTGACAGGGGGAGATATAAAAGGATGTCACACTGGAGCTCGGTTTGAGTCTAAAACGCAAGTTATTCCTTCATGTTTACCAGTGCAGCCCCTGCAGATGAAGCAACAGCGCCCTCTGCTGCAAGAAACACTGCTGTCTAAAATGCTAAAGCAGCAAAACACTGAGGTGTTGTTTTGACTTAACTGATTTTTTCTGTTACTTCTTATAGGAAAACCTAACCTGAAGCTTTTCTTATGATAATCATCAACATATAAAAGGCTGTAAATGTGCAATGATGAGGTAAATGTGATCCTGTGGCTCTGAATCCTTAGGTTTCTTCATTGATCAGCGAGCACGCCACTCATGGTAATAAATGTGGTTGGTCGTACATATTATGTTTCTCTAGCCGCTCCACCGTCCTTTGCAGCTCCTTGTTCTGCACGGAGCAGGCTGCTGCCCTGTGAACACACACACACAAATATGTATTAATGTAACTGTGAGTGACTTTCAATAAAAATGTCCCCTGCTGTCCCCCTCGGCATCTTGAGACAATAACAGGTTAACAAAGCTGTGGCCCAGCAGACAGAGCAGGTCCATGTGTGCATGACTGCGCGAGCGCATACATGTAATTGTAAAGTGCTTTGTTTGCTGCGGTACAAAAGTGCTATATGAGAGCAGTCCATTTATCGTTCATGCAACTTGAAGTTTCTTCTGCAGAAACTCTGGGCCTCAGGCAAGAACCCGTCATGCAGGCGGGTTCTTTCTTATGTGGCGTTCACCATTTTTCTCATACTTTGAATTTTCTCTGAGGTACAAAGGAAACTGAGGAGTGGTCCAGACTCACTGGTTTAACTGAAGAACTGGTTTCATTAAAAATATAAAGTATAGAAAAGTATATAAAGTAGAGAACAAACAATGCTAAGGAATGTCCTGTTTGCCATCATCATCACGCTGCCATGATGTTTCAGAGCTTCTAGCTGTCGGTATAAAAGCCTCAGGACTGCGTCCAGTCTCCGCCTCTGTTCTAACGCCTGACAGTGGATCATCACCGACAGCAGCTGGAACATTCTCTGCTCTAACATCTGAGTGGCTGTCGGCCCCTCGACACCGCACATCTTAGTCATGGAGTGATTTGTTTGGCACAGATTTTTGCTAGCGTCTGACTTTATGGAGCATGAACGTTCTCTCATCACTGACATATGAACTGTTAACATTTTCTAACACGACACTGACTCTGGTCCAGTTGTTCTGCTTTAGTTTGATGATTTCTGACGTGAAGCTCTACACTGTCAGACTCAACTTTTTTGCTCTTGTAGCGAGGAGAAGTCTGAAATACAGGACACAAATAGAAAAATGTTATGGTATGAGGCCCCGTGTCTCATGTAAGTCTAGCTAGTCTATACCTGCTCTCCAGTCCGTCAACGTACTCCTTCCTCCTGCGGCGGCTGTCCTGAGCAGACTGCTTGTTGCGAATTTTCCTCCGAACCTTCTTCAGGATTCTTTCCTCAGCCTGCAAATGGTGTGATAGTAATTTACTATCTTTGAATTTGGAGAAAACCAAATATATGGTATTTGGGAATCCTAGACTAGATAATAAACTTCAAATGAAAATTGGGGGAGCTAATATAGAACGAGTATATAAAATCAAATTTCTAGGTGTCATAGTTGATGACAAATTCTCCTGGAAATCTCATATCAGATATGTTCAGCATAAAATAGCTAAAAATATATCGATATTGGCAAGGGTTAGATATAT